CCCCAAAACCCCAAAACCCCCTTCGTTAGTTATGCTACTAAAATATATGTGATTTATTTTAAAATTAAGAAATTATTTAAGATTAAAACTATCTAGTTATAATCTAATAATATTTTTATTCACAGATTCAAATTTTTCTCAAATCTTTATCTTTCCAATTCATTAGCAAGTTCCAAAGCAATTTATACATAATTTCAGTCATTAATTTGATATATTTTATTCGAAATCTGCAAATCTAATTAATTATTAATTATCATGAATATACATTTATCATCACTGATTCTATTATTTTTGAAAAAACAAGGTCAAGGAATCTTTTATATAATTTATATCCTCCTATACTTTAAAAAATCTTTAATCAATTCCATCAACCTTTTTATCAAGTCCTTTTACTTGTAAATCAAGGCCATCAACTTTAAGATCAAGTTATTTAGTTTAGGAATCAATGAATTTTGCATAATTTTCAAGATTTTTCATTTGAATATTTAGTTCTTTAATGTCTCCTCTTATACTTTCATCTTCATTAACTATAGATTACTTCAATTAATTGAGATTATTGTTTGTAATTGGATTTTCTTCTTAATTTTGTTTAACTAACTTTGATATCATTTCTTCTAGTCCTTCATTTGAACAAGAATACTTAGAATTCTATGAAAATAGTTCATCAATTTTCTAATGATTCTAACTTTAAACAGAATGAATATTTTAAATGATTTCACCTTTTGCCTTAGTGACAGTAGTTCTTATAGTCTACTTAAGATCTTTTATGAATCCCTGCCATTCTCCAGCCTCTTTAATTTCAGTGTTTAATGGTCTTCTTCCCACAATATAATTAGGAAAATATTTTTCCATTTTCAATTCAATCTGATTGAATAGCAGCTCTCTCTCAAAAATCAAGCTAGCTTTCACCTTGTATGATTCAGCCACTAGTTTCTGCATTACTCTCTCGTATGATTCAGAGATAACAGCAATAATAAAATTCATGAACACGATATTTAATGTCAAAACAGTTATTAGCCAGATTATCCATGAGAAGACCACAAGTAAATCTCCTTAATTGTGGTAATCATCCATCTAGAAATCTCCAGATGAAATCCTGAAAACCATCAAGAAATAGGCTAGTTTATCAACACCATTATATTCTTCTATCTGTCCAGCCTTGAATAAAACTAAAAATATCATCCCGAATTGCAATATGAAAATTAAGAAAAGGATTAAGAAATATCTAAGATCTTTAAAAACGCCTACTAACATTTAGATCAGAAAACTAATACCATCATAAATCCTTAAAAAGAATAAGAGTTTCATAAAAGTAAGAAAAATCACTGTTATTTAAATCAAGATTTAAGTATCTTGGCTCTAATTAGTAAATTCAATGATACAAAATGCAACATAAGTTATAATATGCAAAAAATCAAAGTAATTCCAACCATTTTTAAAGTATTTGCCTTTTTATACTAATAACTATTTTACTTCTTCGAAAGAAAAGAATGCTAGTACCAAACAGCAGACGATCTTTGTTATAATTTTTAATATCCTATTAAATTATGATATTTCACTTCTTTAATCCTCTGCTCTTTATTCTTGGTTAGTATTTTGCAATGAGTAAGTTGAATAAAAGATATCTGTAAAAAACGATGCCATAAAAATCAAGTAAACATAAAATCTGGCATGATAGAATTTCCTAGTGTATTAATTCCATTTGAAATTAATAATTGTCTAAATGATTCTATTCTCAAAATATTCAGGATTTTCTGTTTCACTTAGCACTTGCATTAAATACGTTGGATTTTTTTACAAAGTAATTGGCAAGTTAATCAAATAGTATTCAATCGAGACTAAAGTTGTAAAATCTTTTTCATTTAGTCTAGATAATTTATCCCGAAACAATTCTCTATATTATTTTTCAACATCTTTGGGATTGTCTAGATTAACTCCTACTATTAATTCTCTATGATCATTATGCTATCTGGGATAGTCTGAAAATAATCTAGTAAGAATTTCATATTTAGGTAAATTACTCTCAAAGTATTCTTGCAAGTCAATTTATTGCTTGATTAAATTGCAAAAGTTTTTATCAACTAGTTCGTTAAACAAGATATGATCTTGATATTTTATTAAAATTTAAAGCATAATATTGCTGATCTTTCTTTAATGAGCTTTAACTGAAAAATCTAATGGTGATTCTTCTGTTAACATTTTCTAGCAGATTAATATTGGTATAGATAATTTATCTCTCAAAGACAGCTACTTTGCTATGAATTCAAGAGCAACTAAATTATTTTAAAAAACTCCAAAACAAGTTCCAATGCCAGGTATAAATTTTAGATATTTACTGAGATTAGTAGTCATTTCTTTAATAATATATTCATTGTCCTATTTTCTTATTTATTTATAGTCATCTATCAACTTATCTGTAATGTCTATTTAAAAATACCCAGCCATTTCCTCCTCATCTTTTATAAAAATTTTTGCCATACTTGAGTCTATTATCACTTTCTAAGCAAGTTAAAAATAAAACAATAGAAATGCAGGTTGTCCAAGCAATTATTTATTATAAATATCGGTAAATAAACTTTATATCATACAAAATACTTCATTATTTTTCTCAGAATTTTCTCTTTCTATCCTATAAAAGGCTTTTTAATTTATTCCCTTCTAAAAATATGATTTTATTATTAGATTAGATGACCAATTTGTATATTTTAGTTCTATAATTTTATCTAGTTTTTTACTATTAAAGAATAAAACAGTTGTAGCAAAATTAGAGTATATTTGAATATAGTTATTTCCAACAAATATTGCATTGAAAAGATTTCACCCTATTATCTCTTTAATTTTTAACCTAATTTAAATATCATAGATTTCAATTTAATCAAATTCATCTTAAATTATTATTATACCTAATTCTTTATTAAAAAATGCTTTTTATAAAATACTATTTTTATGACCAATTCAAGCATCTCTAATCAAATTTTTTTATTAAATCATTTATGCATTTTTATCAAAATATATAATTTATTTTTCCGTTAATAATTCAAAGAGATACTAATTTTCATTATCCATATTTTCCATTATAACAAAGTTATAATAATTTTAAGATAATATACCATATCTTGTTTTCAATTTACACCAATCCACTTTACGATAAAAATTAAGATAGATGTAGTATTTATTTTTACCAATAATGACATCATCTGGATTTATATTATCGACTATTTCAAATTCTTATTTTTGCAAGCTTTTTATATTTTCTGCTAGATTTTCATCATTAAAATCAATATAATTTATTTAAATAAGCTCCATAAATTAATTTATTAATGTTTTATCTAATTCTCTCTTAATTCCTGATAATAAATCTAATATCACAACTATGTCAGTTTCATTTGATACAAATAGCATGAAGTTTTTAAAATTGAAGTTAAAACCATTTTTGTAAATGTCTTAAATTTAATACCTCAATTCATAAATATTATGAATTTAGTAGTAATTTTTATTAAAATTGAATGTAAGAATATCATCTTAACAGGTATTATAGAATAATCTATTATTTTCAATGTCTATTTAAAGATAATCATAGCTTATATTTTCAAGATTGATATGATTTATCAATTAAAATGACTATGAATCAAAAATCAAAAACTAAGAATTAGCATTTTGAATATTTGCAAAGATTACAAATTTACAATGACTAGTTTTTATTTATTTTAATTCTATGATTGTTGTTTTGAATAGATTTTATACTTTTTCTAATCTCAAAGAATTATCTTTTTAGTATTTGTAAAGATTAAATTCACAATCCAAAAAGTATTCATATAATTCTAAATAGTTTATTGCATACAACTATTTATCAAATTTTTCTAAGATTTCAAGTGTTAATTTATTAATAAAAAGAGTTTTTGATTTACTTATATCACCTATTATATAGCGATCTTTTAGCTGTTAAAAATATTAATAAGAACTATCAATATGATAATAATATTAATAAGAACTATCAATATGATAACTACGTTCAGGTTCAACTTTTATAAATAATTTATTTTTTAAGGTACTTTTTTATTTCTCAAATACATAACTTGGCCAAATACTTATAAAAATTGACACATTTTAATCATAATATATTTTTGTTATAGAGTTACCTTTTAATTGTAACAAATAGCTTCAATATTATATTTCCCAATCCCGTACAGATTTAATTTTGATTTTGATGTTAAATTCATCGAAAATATCAGCCTCAAGGAGAACTATATTATTTTCAAATTCTAATTCAATCATATATTGATTCAAATCATCAAGTCAACACAAATAAATATAATCTTCATTATTATTATAAAAAATGTAATCAATGTTTTTGAATAGTTTGTGAATTATCTTGTTATATCTTTAACAATTCTCCAATTTAAATGTTTTATATATTTACTTAGATTTTAAGTCAATAAAATCAACAAATCTATCTTCATAATTATCTTCAAAATAATATTCTCTCAAGATTAAGCTCCTGTGAGATACGAAAATATGTTATACAATTGTAATTTCTCTATCATCTTAAACTTTTTATAATTTGAGCGGAATATATTTGAATTATCATTTTTATCGTGAACAGTCAAGCTCATTAAAAAAAAGAATCCATCTATATTCTATAGGAAGATTATCTCTCCCCCATTCAAATTAAATCGAGATTTAATGTTCTAATTATCTCTTAAAATAATATAAACCTTCTTGAGAGCTTAAGGTTATCTATTCCAACATTTAATAATACAGATTAAATAAAATAATTAATTATATAATAAGTATTTCTAAAGAAAATTTAATTTTAAACAGATCAGAAAATTAGTTAAGAATGATGAAATCAATAGTTTATAAAAATTTTAAAAATAATAAAATCGAAGTTCTTCATTTCAAAATTATTAAAAATTTCAACAATATGCATTCATGGGGTTTTGGGGTTTTGGGGTTTTGGGG